CCAGGGCTCTGCTGACCCTCTCTGTTTTAGGCACAAAGGTGCCTTTGCATCCTTGGCAATCTGCTGCATGAGGGCAGGTAGGAAGCTAGGCAAAAAATCCAGCCTGAAAATAAATATCATGCTCATCATGCTGTGACTGTGCAAACAACAGGACAAGGGTCCGCTGTGGCAATTGCTCCCGGTTGTCAGCAGAGCTGTCATCGGTTCCCCTGCTGAACCCATCATGGGCTGAGTGACAAGGTCATTTCCCTCTCCTCCTCTCTGCTTGTACCCTTGCGGCACAGAGCATGTTCAGTACCCTTGAATTCAGASGAGATGGAGATGGATATGCATGGATGCACGTTTTTGACAGAGAAATGCCCTGATTGCCAAGATCCTGCTTTTCTCGCAGGTGGAGCAAGCTGACACCTTAGCACCTTTCCTGGTGAGGATGATGTCTTCCCCAGCCTGAAGAACTTTCCATTTGTGGTTTCCAAAGAGCAAACCCTGTGGCTGAGTCCAAGGGATATGGATGAGGTCTGTGGCACCTCGTCCTGTTAGAGCAAAGCCCTGTGTCCACTGTGCATAGTAGATGTTCTTACACAGTGTTAGCCATGTTCTTGAGCATGCTCAGGCACCAGGGATTCAATTAACACAATGCCTTAACATTAACAATTAACATGATTTAGCAGGTGGGCAAGCTGGGCTCCCACCGGAGCATGCTGCAAAGCAGGCCTGAGCTTGTGGAGATGCTCTTTGCATGCTAATGTACCTGCAAACCCTGATTAGTTAACCCAGGGCCATCTAGAGATGTAGGAGATGTTAGAGGAAATCACAGCTGTTTGCAAACCTAGGGGGAATTTCCATCTGATGCCACCTCATCCTCCCTACATACCTCCTGTTTGGCTCCTTTCCCTATGCTGCACCTGTCATCCTCAACCACCTCCCTGCTTTACTGACGTCCTTTCGAAGTCTAGATGTTGTGCACATGCTCCATCTCCCCACTCCACTATTCAGTGCTGCTCAAAAGGGGTGAATTTGGTAGGAATTAGGTTGGCAGGGGAAGCATAAAGATAATGATGTGCTGCAATCTAAAATAAACAAAGAGGATAGGGTCACAGACACCTTTCCAGCATTTGTTTGATATTTGCTGGTCAACAGGTACCTGAACCTCTGTGTTTCTCTCTTTCTGTTGGATTTGGGAAGTTATTTTTTGCTAATGTGTAGAGATGCCATATGAGGAAGCTGGCGCTTCATGGCTTACCTTGCCATCATATCTTGTTCTGGCATCCTTGYTTCGGATTAGGGGATGTCAAATTCATGTGGATCACAAGAGTGAGAGATCAGGGAAAGAAAAAGCTGGGATGGAGAGGGATGGGACATTGACTGCGTGATTATCGAAGGGGCAAGTTTTAGAGACAGATAGCAGGGACATCAACCAAACTCCAAAGTTGGTGGTCATAAGCACTCATACATAAATACAAGCAATGAGTATTGATTTTCCTTTGCAAGTTGCAAAAACCACTTCCCTAGCCAGGGAGCTGCAGCCCCTTCTTCAGAGCAGGGATGCAAAGTTGTGACTGGGAGGGGAAATAAATAAGGTTGCAAAATGGTGGGGGAAAGCCCCCAGCCTCCCCAGCTCTGTGTTCGTGCCCTGTTTTRTCTAAAAAAGGGATGTTGGAGATAACAGATGCCACTGCAGCACCCGATGGTCCAGGCTGCATCCTGTCTGTCAGGGCAGCATGAGGTTTCCAGCACCACAAAGACTTCACAAATAGGATGGTGCTGCAAAACTCACTCTTTTACCCACCATTTTTGGGGTTCAGCAGCCAGATCTGAATTAGAATGGGTGCAAAGGGGGCTACAGACCTGCAGCCATGGAGCTGAGCGAAGCAGTGCTGGTGCGTGGGGCTGCTCAGCTTGGGGAAAAGCTTCTAACAACCTTGATGAACAGTCTGTTCATCTGCTCTTGCCCTCAACAAGCCACGGGGGCTCTGGACCGTTGCAACTCTATAATCAAGAGGGTTTGAAAGAAGTAATTTTCTCCTCTTGTAAGCTGGTTAATTCTCATTTAATTGCTACCCATTTTGCATAGATTTTTCGTTCTTTTTCCTGAATTGCCACAGCACTATCTCCTCACTTCAGCCTCTCCAGCAAGACAGCAGCACTTGACTTCTATGTAGTTTCTCCTGTCTAGGCTTTGGGAGTCCCAGGTTGTGTTCTGGCCTTCCCATCGCTCCATAGAACTTAGTCCTGATGCACCAGAGACATGACATATATAGGAAAATTCTCTGAGTACTGGCCTGAACTTTCCTCCTTGCTAGGGCGCTCTGCTTTTGGGAAAAGGAATAGAAAATAAAACTGATAATGCATCCCCACCACCAAAACAGAGCACGTGACAAACCTGCCTTTGCCAGCGCTGTTCCTCACCTGCAGCCCAGGAATTAGTGCCAGATAGTCCAAGCTCCTCTCAGCCTCTTACTTTCGGCTTGCTCTTTTTTCCTGCTAGGAATTGGATGAGTTTCCTGGAGCATCGCCCAATGCAAAGGAAGTGACCAGAGCCACCGCTGTGCCACGAGTGCTGCAGAACCTTCTCCCAGCACACGAGGAGCCGGTTCATCTCCTTATTCCATCTGCAGCCTCTAAGCACATTTTAACCTGATTAATGCATTAAAATATGCTCCCATTATCTGCCAAATCATTTTCATCAGCATCATAAGCATGTCTACGACCATGGCGTTGGGTTAGTGATGCAGCACCAGTCAAACCTCCATAAAATCATAATCACTCTAGTCTGCAGTCTGGGGCTTGTTGAAAACATCTCCTCTGAGTTGCCTTGCTAACATACACACACACACAGAGGACTTTTTTTTTTCTTTTCTGGTTAATCCTGAGAGTTTGCACATGTGGGTTTCTGTCCAATGGCAATCATGCAAGTTGGAGGAGGTTGAACCCAGGACTCCCCTTTCCTACCTGTCTCTCACATGCTCGTAGTCCTCCCAGTCCATCAGCAGCTACTTGGGCTTCTCCAGCCCTGCAATCCCCCTGCACAAGGGCCTCATCCAGCCTCCGAGTCTCCTCCAACACCTTCGAGTATGAGACAGTAGTCGATCTTAGAAGCGGAAGAGCATCCTTGGTGCAACATGGGAGGATCATCTGCTGGCTGCATTCCAAGGAAAGATGATGTCCCCTTGGAAGCCTGATGGTGCCAGTCAGCTGGGGATGCTCCTTCAAGCCAGCAGCCCCAACATCCTGTGGTGGGCATACAAGCCCCACAAATGTCCTTTGAATCCAACCTGGACAGCTTTGCCCATGCCAATAGCATGTGCAGGCAAGGGAGAGGAGTGGAAAACAGTTGCTTGAGATTTGTTTCCAAGCAGAAGTTAGGAGGCAGCAAAGGAGGCTGTCAGGTATTAAGAGATCCAGTTTCATGAGGGTGGTCAAGAGCTGCCTGTCTCTTGCAGCCGCTTGCTTCTGGAAGCCACTTGACTGCACCAGCTGTGAAAAATGCCAGCAGGAGGCTCATGCCAGGGCAGAGGGCAGCAAGGGCACTAGGATTAGATGCTGAAATATTTATTGGGGCTTTGGCTCTATGCAGAAGGGCAGCGCAGAGCCCCAAGCCATGAATTAGAGGGGACAGCTATAAAACAAAATACAATTTCCTCTCTCAAGTCCTTTTCCTTGAGAGAGGCCTGGCCTTGGTCTAGCCAGGGCCTTCTCCTCTTTGCTGGCCTCAAGTCTGCTTGCAAGGGAGATCCAGGATGAAAAACATCCCCTAGGATTCATCCCCAGGTAACAGAGCTGTAGCCACAAGGCAATTCTCAAGCAAGGAGGCTACCCTCAGACCAGGCTACTTAAATTAAGGAGCTAAATTAAATTATATCAGTCACCTGTGCCTTCCCACAACAGCTCAGCATGGTGCCAAGGTCCCTCCTTAGCAGCTTAGTCTCCTTCTGGGCCCCTCTCAGCCTCACAATACACCTGAMCACACTTAAGGGTTAACGTAGGATTATCTCAAGGAGCTACAACCTCCCCAGGAGCACAGAAGATGGCGATTGGCAGCTCATTAATCCTGGAATTACTTGATAACTTTAAATACAATCATGTAATCAGCGGGAGCACATAATTATTATTTATGTGCATGGTGCTTACCAAATTACAGCGCTCGCTGCGACAAGCAAATTACTTCTGCGATGCAAGAGCTTGACCAGAAAGTGGTGCCTGCGGCTGAATTTCACTGCTGAACATGGAGGGGCAAAATGAAATTGGGTTTTAATTAGTTCCCCCATCCTGCTGGGAAGTGTGTAGTGGTTTTATCTTGCCTTGACTCGGCTGGCCCCACAGCCTCGGATGCCCTACTGGAAGGTGGAAGGGAGGATTTGGCTTCTTCAGCCCTGATGGCATTTGCCACCCAACAAGATGGGAAAGCCATCATGGGGAGCACAAGGGAAAACCAGACCCACAAAGCCCTCRTGGGAGGAATCAAAGTGATTTTAATCAAAGAAAGCAGAGAATACACATGCCTTTCCCTGGCTCCGGAAAGCAAAGTCATGGGGATCTGAGCAGACCCCCAGGAGGAGGGCAGCGGCAATGTAAACACAAGTTCTTCTCTTTGGATTTCTTTGTTGTGTTTTGAAATTTTCACCTTCTTTTCCCCCTATCCCAAGTGACTGAGCTTTAGAAAATCCAAACCAACCATGTTCTGCAGTGCTTTTTGATAACAACTCTTCTATGGACAACATGAATCTCCAGGGAGCATTTCCACTTCTCCAAAGCAGACAGAACTTGTTCCTCTCCTGCCAGGCTGCCCAGCAGGGAAATCAAACCCACCCAGAGGGAAACAAAAGGAAGGGAATTCTTTTTTTTCCAGCTCTTTTCATCAAGTTTGTACCATTTTGCAAATTGCCCTAAAGGGAAATTTAAAAAAAAAAAAAAAAAAAAAAAAAAAAAAAAAAAAAAAAAAAAAAAAAGAGTCACTTTTCCCATTGCACTGCTCTAGGACTCATTTTCTCAAATCCATAATTCGGTTATGGAGCAAACTTGAGGTTTTAGTTTGTGCCTCATCTTATAAATTTTCTTTTAATTTCTGTTTTGGCATTTTAGCCTGAAGAAATGTGAGTAGAGCTATTTCAGAGCTGCTTCCATCTTCCCTGGGTCAGGGAATACCGGGCAGAAAAAGAGAGGTGCAGAAGCATGGAGGGGCTGGAAGCAGGTCCCAGGGGCAGTGGTGATGGCAGCCCCTTGGGTCCAGGGAGCACTCCCAGCCCAGGACTGCACTGCAGCAAATAGGGACGAGTCTGGTAAAATTAATAAAAGCTCAGGCTTGTTTTTGGCTTGTTTTTGCATCCTCTGTGCTAAAATGAGSAACAAAATGGTCAGACAGGGGTATGGGACCTCCATGGGCATCTCACTGCCTGCAGCTACCAGGGACAGAGAGAGGGACAGAGACCTGGGGGCATGACTAATTCCCATGGTATAAAACCCCAGCCCTGTAAAACAAAGTCTAGACTCAGCTTGAGCCTCTCTRTTCATTGCTGGTCAACCAAGAAGGCCATAGGCATCCCCAGCACATGCTCGCTGGCAGGTGAGCAAACGTTCAGCACTAGGACAAGCAGGATCTGGCACCACGCACTGATATCCCAAGGGACTGACCCCATGAGCCATGCCCAGCAATAGCCTCACTGGAGCAGTCAGTCTATCTGCTCCAAGCCAGGAGCTTGGACAAACCCAATTTGAGGCCATTGTACCCAGGATGAAGGCAATGATGGCTGCTAGGGAGGCAGCTACAACATCTCTGGGCTGCTGTGGCTCCTCTTCTGGCTCCAGCAACAGTATGAGAGATGAAGGAGTAGTCTTAGTCGTCTCAGCCCGTGGGAAATCCTGGAGTGACCATGGCGTTTCCCATAGCCCTGTCAAGCTCATCCCATCCTCTGCCAGGCATCGACCCCAGGCAGGAGGGGAAGCTCCTGACTCCTGCACCATTCTCCACCGTAGGGCTGAGGTCCCGAGAGGACATGGCTCCCTTGGCCCGGCTGCCAATGCTCACACGGCTGTGGACTGCTTGATGCTGTGGAAGCTGATGCGGGTCGGCGAGGTGGGGATGGACATGGCCCGAGCCACACGGGCCCGGATGGAGTGCTTGTCCTGCCACCGGTGCCATCGCTTTCGCACTGCTGATCGGACCTGGGGACAGGGAATTGGGTTATATACGCACACCTATAATGTTATATTGAAGGCCAGATCATCAACAATTTGCCTCCTTCCTCCATCAAAATCACTGGGACTACAGAAAGAGCAGGATGAACTACCTAGCCCAGGACTCCCCATCAGCCCAGGGCATCATTCTTTGGGGGCCAAGACATGCTGTTCCTCTTCTCTAGTCCCGCTTTTCAGGATCTAGGAACAAAAATGAGTTTAGGTGTTGCTGAAGTTCACCAGTCACCCTTGTGTTCAGCCTTTCAGCTAGAAATGTCACTAAAACACAGCCCAGCCCAGCTTGGGTCTACAGTCTGGAAAAGGTCCCAGGAGTCTCTGTCAGGTCCCAAGTCACCTAGCTTTGTTTGACATGATGCCTGCACCACCCAGCTCATGCAATTCTGCTTTGGAGGGCAAGAGATGAACTTGATTGCCAGTGCCTCCAAGTGTGAAATGAAAATGAGAGGGAGACATAAATCTGGCCAGGTACACGCTAAAGAAGAGCTGATATCTCAAAGGCTACATGTAATGCTGGCAATGGTTTAAAAGGGACATGAATGACAGCCAGGGACATTTTATGACTTTTCTAAACCATGCTAGTTGCATTTATTCAACATTAATTAGGGCCTCTGACAGCACAAGGGCTTTGCACAGCAGGTAAATATTACAGAAATACCTTTCTATCACCTGCAATGTGGGAAGGCCCTCCAGGAGGTGGGTGCTGGAGAGCAGGCAGCTCCCATAAGCAACCTACTTTGAGAGAAATAACTGAGCAGATTTGGGCAAAAATAAGGCAGTTATTAGCATATTTGAGCCCATTAGGTTTGAATGCTGCCAGCATCTTTCTGTTATAGAGGAAATGTGGTTTGAAGCATAATATGAAGATGGGTCTTGTGTCCTTTGGAGGCTTTAAAATTATTTTATTTTATTTTTTTTTTAATGTTGTCATTCCCTTGGACTCTGTTTCTCCCAGTCATGCTCAGACATTGAGCCTCACAGCAAGCAGAAATACAAGAGCATTTGAAAGGAGGCAGAGGAACAAACTGCCCAAACTCCAGGTGCCTCAGCTCTTGCCTCCTTTGCTCTTTTCTGCATGCACTTTGGGTCAGAACTTGGGAGTTGTCCCTATCCCCCATATGCCTAACACCCAAAGGTGCATGAGGTTCCTCCAAGGGAAGGATTTGCAAGAGAGAAGCCCAACAGAAGGTGGCTGCAGTAGGAGGACATGGATGCATCTCCCAGAGAACAGTTGTTCTTGGATGTGGATTTTCCCTCTTCCAATGAGAAACTTTCAGGAGGAGACACAGGGAACCCTGCTTTCTGCAAGATGTTTTATTTTTGCAGAAACTTCTGCAAAGAGCTGAACTCCATTCACTTTATGGGAAAGAGGTAGCAAAATATCTCTATTTTCTTGGGCTTTGGAGGCTGAGTCTTCTTGTTAAACCAAACCAAGCAACCAAACAAGCCACAACAAACCCCAATGAAATAATGTTTAAAAGACAGATAGCTTCCTAATCAGTAAAGCTATGGAGGCAGTCAGCTGTGCTTGTTTTGGAAGGACTTTTCATAGACAATTCTCACAAGCAGCAAATGAAACCACAGAAAGCTGCAAAAACCTCCTAAATTTCCTACGAGAAACAAAAGCCCATTTTCTGACAGCTCCCACCAGCAGCAAAGCTCATGGTGAGGGTTCCCCGTGGACAAGGCTGCAGACAGAGATAAAGCTCTGACTTTGTCATTGGAAACACCTTCAGCTGGGGAACAACAAGACTGAAGAAACTCTGCCTTATCCCAGATATTGGTCCCTGGTGCTGAACTTGAGTCCAAGCCCCCTTTCTCTATGAGGGCAGTCTGGATACCATGCAAGCCCCCTCTGAGCCCACAAACCAGACGCACTGCAGAGGCAAAAGCCCCTCAAGTTGCCTCCAACTGAGCTTGTGTCTGCATGCAAGGAACCACGTAGATATGCCCCAAGAAGCTCCTCTGCATCCTCAGCCCCCTTGCTCACCTCGCTGTTCAGGAAACAGTAGAAGACAGAGACGAAGAAGCCCTAGAAAAGAGAAGAGAGACAGAGTAGCCATCAGTGCATGGGGCTTTGCATCAGCATAGCCACTTTGGAGCAGCCCTGGAGTTGGGGAGGTCACTCCTGCTCTTGGGAGGGATGAGGTGGCAGAAGCAGAGTTAGGAAGGGTCAGTGTTCTGGCTGACATGACATCCCTTGGGGAAACGGGATGGCAACAACACTACTAATGCTAGGGACCATACCTGGAAGGACTCCAGAAAGGAGTTGAAGTAGATGAAGACAATCCTGGAAATCTCATCCTCACCCGGGTTGACAAAGAAMAGCATGTAGGTGATTCCCAGTAAAGGCAACAGCACCAGGGTGGCCTTGACAGCTTTCCTGGGGAGGAAACAGAGTTGAGCTGCAGCCCCCTTTGCATTTTGGAACTCATGTTTTGTTGTCTCCATTGAGGAAGGGAGGTGGATAGAGGAGACCCGACCTTGAGCTCTTGGGAAGTAACTGCCTGGCTGTTACACGACTTGATTAAAAAACAAGTAAGGAGCAGAAAATAATTCATAGCCCTCAGTATTGGTTTATGAAAAGCTGATCTTGTCTAATTAACTTGATCTCTCTTTTTGATGAGATTACAAGTTCAGTTTGTAAAAGCAACAGAGCTGAGGCAAGACTCCTGAAAGAATCTAAGCTTGATGTCTCATTCATTTTGATTAGAGAAGAACAATGCAAAGTCAACACTTTTTTTCCCCCCAAAACTCTCACAAGCACAGAGATCCAAACACAGTTTAGCACAGGGAAAAATCCTCTCCCAATGGGCTGAGGCGGACAGGGAGTCCCAGCACCTCTGCTGCTCTGTCGCTGTATTACTGACTTGGAGGAAAGCCGTATTTTCACCGAAACCAACTGGCAGATGGCACAGAGGCCTGAGGAGCTGGAAATAATTGAGCTTGAGCTGGCTCCGAAGAGCCGCTCAGAGGCTTGGGCTACAGCCAGGGCTTGTAACACTGTTGAGAGTCCAGGATCAGCAAGTGCCTCCAGACACAGGCTGTTTGGAGCAGTCTCAGAGAGGCTGCTGAAGTGAAGCACCCAGGTCCAGGAGGAACTGGTCAGGTTCAGAGGGGAGATGCAAAGAGCAAGTGAATGATCCCCCAGAAAGGTGACAAGGTGTCCCCACATCTAGTGCTAGAAAAAGAGCATCTTTGCCAGCAATTCTCCCAGTTTAGAAGCCTTCATTCTGATGAGCTGTTTCCAGTATGGGACATAGCTCCAAGTGCCCTGGGGTATCAAACAGAGCTATAGCAACAGCTAAGAATTTGACATGAAAAAGGGACAAGGACTTGCCCATGGTGAACAGCATGCCCATTCAAACTGGGAAAGGCTGGTAAGTCCAAAGTCTTTCAAAATTGCTTATGGGGGCCAACCAGCCTGGTTCATTTCAGTAATCTCTGACCTAGCCTTATCTCTCTCCAGTTGAATGGTTCAGCCCATTTCAACACCCTGCAATGAGATTAGTTGGCATTTCTCAATAACAGCATCTAGTCTTTCATGATTTTAGCTAAAATTAAAAAAAAAAAAATTAAAAAGAGCATCCGACACCCCCAAATCTGCCTCACTCTACCCAACRTGCAACTCCACAGAGATATTCACTTACTCCTGTTTGCAAAATGACCCCAAGAGAAGCTCTGCAGAAGTTCAAAGCACCTTTCTGCTGCAGGCACTTCCAAGATGCTCTAGTCATGTATCTCCTGAGGTGTCTGCAAAATATTCTCTGGGAGGGAAGGGTTAAATCTTCCTGTCATTTGACTGACACCACTGCCTTTTCCTTGTGGGTTCACGGGCAGGTGCTGAAGGTGACATTGATTATTCCTCCTTCCTTGTTCTCTGCTTTGCTGTCAAACAACGATTTAATTCTCACCTCGGTGCCAGGATTTGCAGGTCTGACTCTGGCCAACTGATCAGGTCCCACCAGGAGACTCTTTCTTAAAGAGTTCAGCTGCCAATTGCTTCTGCTAAAGGTGGCTCCCGCTACTCATGTTTCCAAGTGTAAAGATCTCTGTGGCCACAATTTCCAAATACCCCCAGTTGCAATGGTCAGATGTTTCCAGGAAACATCTGGGATGCTTTTAGCTGTCTTCTCTTTGTGTCCCTGCTCCAGAATCTGCCAGTCACTATCTCCTGGTTTTGCCCTTACCTGTACTGGATCGTCTCTGACGTGGTCGAGGCTCGGAGCTTCGTCATGAGGATTCGGACGATGTTGAACAGAAAGATGAAGTTGATCTGAAAGGAAGGGAGGACACATTAACATTTGCTGCCTGGATGCTGTCTCTACCCTTGGCTCCCCTGAACACCTACAATGTTAGCAATCCCCAAAGGGCARCAGGCTCCTCCAAATCCTCATCTTTCAGCAGAACCATTGGGTTTCAGCAGAGCCATCAGCCTCCAGGTCTCTGCTGCAACTTCGGTTGACTTGGTTTAAATCCATACAGCCCTTTCCAGCCCTGTCTTGAGCAGCAAAGACAACAGGCCATTTCTCATCTTGGAGGTCCACATTTCCTCAGGCTTGGCTGAATGTAGGTGGGCATAGCAAGGGGAGAGCACTGCTCTGATGCAGCACCAGAACACGCTGCAGTGGGATGATGCTAAGCGCAAGGGCAAAACCCTGCTCAGCTGCAGCCATATCCCATGAGTGGATATAAAAGACTGTTTTAGCCAGGAAGGTGTCTTTGCTCTTACCAGAAGCACCAGGATCATGGGACCTTGGTATATGTAGTCAGTATAAACTCCTGCTCTCTTCCCAAACCAGCACCTGGAATGCAAGGACAAGCGGTGCTAGACAGCAATAGTTCCCCAGCTCCGACCCTGTCCCCAGCAAATCCTGTGGGAACTCATGCAAGTATCTGTGTCCTAAGAGTACTTTGCTTGAATTCTTGTTATGTCGGAGCTGCTGCGGTGTGCCTAACACAGACCTTTTTAAATCAATGAAGTCACAGGGAAAAACTAACACTGAAAAACAAGATGAGCTGCCATTCATCTGAGCAGGTTCCTTTTAAACTTCACAATACACATGATGAACTCATCAGGTTCCTGCTAAGTCCTCCATTAGCAAGTCTCTGTGAAAATGGCTCAGGTGGTGGTAGTTTATATCTCTGCTGGTAGATTAAATCCCTGCTCCATTTAGCAAACACTTTGTAGGAGCTCTAGCTTAATCTAGCTTTTTTTCCCCTGAAAATCTCATTTGTCCTTTGGGGAGGAAAAACGCAGAAGCCAGCAGCTGCAACTAGGGCTCAAGCTGCAGAGAGCCTAAAGGTAGAATAAAAAATCAGATGGATACATGTCAGCTTTTCTCCGTCCCTTCTCTGTATCCTGCCTTATGTCAGCCTTTACTTCCAAGCAGGAACCAGGCCTGCATCTATGTGTCCAGCTGAAAGAGATGGAAAAGATAGAGGAAAGATAGGAGAAAGACAGAGGAAAGAGAAATGGGGCTTACTTCTCATTGTCATAGTACAGCTTCCCGATGGCCCAGGCGACGATGATGGGAAAGGGAATACCTGTAAACGAACACAGAAATGAGACCATGGGATGCAACCTGGTGACCAAGTTATGCCCTAACAGTGATTTTCCAGCACTGGGCTCACACAGAGAGTCACGGGCTGAACCAACACAACCCACTGAGTCCCATACTCGGAGAGCCCTTTGCAGCTATGCCCATGCAAGAAGGGCTGAAGGAGGGAGTGGTGGGTGAGGAGGGGCATTCCCTAGCACTAAGGGCTCGTTGCCCTGCAGCCCGASGGGAGACCCAGTGCTTACACCAGCCAATGCAGATGAACATCCATTTGCGGAGCTTGTCTGTGGAGTAGGTGAGCACGATGGCCGTGTGCAGGTAGCAGCCCTCGCCRAACATCCAGAAGAAGTTGGTGACGTGGAAATAATTGTAGGCGGCTGTGACCAAGCGACACCAGGCCTGTCAAGGGGACGGGTGGGTAAGGGGATGTGGAGGGCAAAGAGCAGAGCTGCTCGAGGAGAGAATGAATGGGTGACCCAGCTCTGAGCAACACTGCTTCCAGCTGGGCCATGTCAACAAAAGCCCAGTGTCTTCTTCAGAGGGTGTCTGTTGTTGGATAAGAGGTAAAAGGCAACATAGCCTTTGTGTTACAGTAGGGAAACTGAGGCAGGCAGCCACCGGGGCAACTGAACTGAGTTTCCAAGCTGCTCCTGTGGCCTCATCTATCAGATCCTTTAGATCCCCTCCATAGCCAAGCTGACTGCCCCCAGGGTTGAGTCAGCAGCCCAGAGCTGCACCTACCACATTGCTCTCGTGCACCTCTGGGTTCATTGTGAACTGCACCACAAACCATGTGGCATTGCGCAGAATGAAGGCTGTGATGAGGTTCCAGTGAATGATGTTCCTCAGACACCGAATGCTCCTGGGGAAGGAGGACAAGGGGTCATAAGAGCACATGAGCATCTAGAACCTGGCCACATCATACCCCTGGAGTAGGTGAGCATGATTGATGTCAGGAGAAAATCAGAACCACATAGACCTCTGACTCCATAACCACAAAACAGTAGGAGAAACATACCCCAGAGCTAGGCACAATTATCCCAGAACAAAGGGCATCTGGAAAGTGACTCCCAGAGTGGAGGAGATGGCAAAACACAGGGGCTCCAGATCCATCACTAACCCAAGTGCCTTGGGSTGATCTCTCCAGATGCATCCTCCTCTCACACAGGAGGTTCCATCGCAGCAGGTTGGGTCACTCACCGTAGGCGCATGAAGAGGACGAAGGCCACAAGTAGGGCTCCCAGCGAGACACAGTGCCCCAGGTAGTTGATGATGACAGCAATCTGGTAGTGCAGCTTGCTCTTTTTCTGCAGGAGGGGAAAGTGATGGGCAAGGGGGTCAGTGCTGGCTGTGGGTACCACCACACAAACCCCATCACATCATCATCTCTGAACTGTGCTGTAATTCTTTGCACCATCACTCAAAAAACACTTGGAGACCCTGCCCAACTGATGTGGGACAAATGAGAGATGAGAGCGCAGAAAGGAGAAACACAACCCAGAGCTGGGGTTGCAAAGGACTTGTGTCCTCCTTGGGCCCAGTGAGCTAGCTAGTGATAGAGCCATGGAGGCTGTCCTTGTAGCAGTCCTGCTCCCTGCAGGGACATCCCTGGCCCATATCAGGAAATATCCTGCTTTTAATTCAGCCAAGCTACCTGAAAATGTGACATCCAATGTCTCAGTTCACTCCACTTTGCCCTGGGGGCAGCTGAGAGTTTGGGTGAGGAACCAGAGGATCACGGGAAGACATGTATGATAATTAAATTAATTGATTGGTTCTGCTGTTAGGCATTCATCCAACTTGTGAGTTAGCAATTAACTGAGTGAGAAAACCATTCCTGGCAAGAGATATCAGCATCTTAAATACCAGAGGTGGTTATTAGCTGCAAATGAACTGCCCATATCTCTCCTCTGCTCTGAGGGATGGCCCGTCTTACTCTGGATCTTACAAATCTTGGTCCCCATTCTTTTTTTT